AAAAAATCAATCGACTTTGAACGCAGGGAAAAAAATATGTAAAGAACTTTAAAATAAAATAGAAACGCTAAAGGCAAAGGGTTATTAAACTATTTGAACGGGTCATAAAATATCGTAGAGGCAGCAATTTAACTATTATAGGAGCTCTGGGGTGGGGGGGGGGGTGCTTCATTTTTTTGTGTTCAACATAGATACACACAAAACAACTATTATAATAGTAGCAAAGCAAACATTATCAATATTATTATGAATAGAGATTTTGATATTTGATATACAATCGTAGACGAAACGCAAATATAGACATAATAAAAATATTTTTAAAAAAAATGGAAGACGAGTAATAATAAAAAAATTATAATTTTTCTATAGTATTCGAATTTTGATAAATTATCTTCTCATTATTTTTCCAGGTATGAAAATGGTTTATACATATAAAATATGTACATATTTTTGTGTAAAAATATTACGTTGTTTTTAGTTTCATAAATATATGGGGAAGCATTATATTATAAAAAAAAGTATAATTTCATAATGTATGATTACAAGATAATCTTTAATTATTTTTTGTGTAATTTTACACCTGATTTTGAAGATAACAAATATAAATTAAGTTAGAATGAAACCTCCAATAAATAACCATGGAGTTTGGCTGAGATCTAGTTAAAAATTAAAACTTAAAGAGAATAGTATTTATATTTATTAATCCGTTTAATAGTGGTGTCAGCTCTAATTATTTAGGATCTTTTTTAAAAAAATGTTGGCGCGTGTACCGCACGCTTTTATCCCTCCATCAGCGAACCCATTCGATCCAATCATGTCCTAGCCTAGGTCATATTTGTTCTTCATTCATTTCATAATTTAATAAACTTCCAGAAATATGGCTTAGATTCTAATTTTATTATTCGTTTCGCGTTATAGGATATTTTATTAAATATTTTTATTTTTTTAAAAAAATTAATTTAGCCGTTAGAAACACCAAAACAGAGATATTTAATTAATTAACTCTATTTTTAAATTTTGTTCTTTCGAATTCAAAATGAATTATTATTTTATAAATCTTTCGTCTAATCTCTAGAAATAATATTTTCTTTTTAGGCAATAATTATTTTCCCTATTTTTTGAAGTTTTAATAGGATAGATAGACCAATAATTTTTTAATCGTAAATACAAAAAATAAAATATTAAAATGAGAGAAAATGTGAGAAGTGTGTTAATATTTACCTAGGCTCAATGATGTGTAAAGTACTATTGTGAATATAATTCAGCTGGTGATCCAACATTTTGTTTTTTGAAAATGTTTTATTAAATTTAATATAAAATTATTAAGATGAAAAACAAATCTAGGTGTCGAACTATTAATTTATATTGATATACATTTAAATGGATGAATGGTCAGTCTAGGTAGTATTAAATGCCAGAGGACAAACCAAATCGAAACTTGCAAAGACCCATTCGATATTAAGTTGTTATCATCAGTCGATGATCGATTTCAAACGCTCGAACTTAGGGTAAGCATTATAAGAATAATATCTAATAATCAAATTAAGGTGAGGATAATTATTCCTTGAAAATAATTCCACCGGAAATGAATTTCTCGAAACTTAGATATCGGAAAATTCCTCCGGAAAATAAAAAAATCCCATTTAATTAAATCCTATAAAAAGTTTAAAACGGAAAAATGCGGGAATTCTTTTTTGAAAAAATTTTAAAAATTATCGGAAAAAAATAGCCAAATAAAAATTTGTTAAATATGGAAATTTATTTCAAAAAAAATCTCGGTAAAAACCTCAAGAAAATAAGATAACTTGTGATTCTAAAGTATTTCAATTTTTTTTATAATAATAATTTATTTTAAAAAATGGCAAAGCGATAGATTAATAGGTCCCAGCATGCGCAGTATGTCTCATTTCTGAAAATATTATTTGGCTAATTTATTTGTGTTCCAAAATGAAATTAGTTTATTATTTATGAATACATCAGCACAGAATTTAAATAAATTGTTGACTTTTATGATTTTCTATCATCAAATAATTTAATATCATATATGACTGCTGATTCATTTTTTCTTTGAACAAATTCCAGAAAAATCAAACTGATAACTTAGGAGTTTGGCTCAATTTCGCCGAAACTATATAAGTTATAATAGGGGTTTCACCTAAATAAGGTCTGTTATGAAGTATAGCGTTGAAAGTTCTTGTTTTTTACATTTGTTTTATAGTATTAGATTGCGTCATAATTTTATTCTTATATACAAATTTTTTAAAATTGCTTTTGAATAGTGTTTGTGGCCTACAATGAATGCATATATAAACTGTCGTATAGATGTGTGTCCGAATCCAAGAAGTTTTTTCTCTGAAGCTAACTAGATGATTGAATGCTACGGGGACAGCGTGATACCGTTAATATATGCTAAAATAAACGCATTTTATTGCACCTGAATAAAATTTGGTTGTTGTTTAGAAAATTACTATATGATGACCAACATCGTCCATTTATTTTAAAAAGGTGTATTTATATTGTTAAAAAATTTCAGAGAATTTTTTTTACGAGAAAATTTTTTTTCATTTTGCTAATTTTCTCGAAATTTTTAAATATTTTTTTCAGGTTCTTAAAAATGGAAGATATTTTTTTTCAAATACAATTATTATCCAGAAATTATTTTCTTGGAGATTTTGTTTCAGCCGTCGCGCATGCGCTCTACATTATATTCATCTTACCACGATATCTACTTCACTTTACCACGTTAAATCGATTCTAAATTTTTTTTAGTTCCGCTTCCTAATCTTTTTTAAAGAAGTTCTGGTTCGTTCCGACTTTTAAATTTGACAGGGTTGAACCGAAACGAAAGTTCCGATTCGAATAACAATAACGGCTCAAGGTTCAGGTCGCAAAAAATAAAAATATCGGTTCGGTTCTAATATCTAAAAACCGGTTTGAAAACCTTTGTATATAAAAATGTTACATTTTGATTTGTCATTTACAATACTATATAGATAAATAATTTATATATTGGATTCAATTTGTCTCTAGGTATTATAAGCTAAATAATGATGGCAATATAGAAAACTTTAAAATTGTGTTGATTTATAATAATCTTTAAAATAATTGGGATATAAATTAGAATTTTAGCAATATACAAGTAATAATTTCACATATAAAATCATGGCACTCGAAACGGTTCATAGATATTTTAGCGGTTCGATTATGGTTAGATAAAAAATACCTGTTAATAGCTGTTTAAAAATTCGGTTTTGATCTCTGTGGATAACCCAGTATTTTATCCAATAAAATATTACGCAAGTCTGGAGATTTAGCTCATAGATGGCACATAGGTTAGGACATCTATTAGCGAAATCTCAGGCTTAGGCAATATTTTACTGGGTAAAATATTGAGTAGTAAAATAATGAGTTAGCCGTTTTTAAAAATGGGCTCAAATCGAGTCATTTAACAACACTATAATATGTTAACTAAAATGGTACTCCTACCCACACAACCTTGAGATTTTATTTAAATGATACTGATTGGTATCCAGTGTTATCTGGGTTGGGCTTCAAAAAAATGAATAATTCAGGGTGACCTGATTTTTATTTAAATGAAAATCAGGAAAAAAATAAAGGTAAAAATTTATAACAAATTTTCTCACTAAAAAAATGATGAAAACTTCCTTTTCTTTCTTTTAAACAATAAGTTTTTTTTAAAAAAATTCTTTATTTAATAATACAAAAAAAGAGAAGAAAATAAATTCTTTGCAGAAGAGGAAAGATAGATTATTGGCATTGTTTCCTTTTCTTAAAGATAATTCTTTTCCTATTCATTAAAAAACAAATGAATTTAAATAAAATGGATTATGTATTGTAATATAGAAAAAAAATGTAAATTTATGAGATAAACTTTAAAAATGAATTGTGATGATTTGTAACTGAGTTAAAACGAATTATCATAGTTATTTATTTAAAATTATATAATATCGGGGTGTTGAATCGAAACGCGAAACCAATTTTTAAAATCACAACCAATATAAAAAAAAATTATATGAGAAGAAAATCGAATAGTTATAAATATTTTCAAACCGGTTTTAATTCATACGTCAAAATTGAATTTATTTTCAGGGACATGGAACGCAACATCCGGACACGTTCCGAGAACCGAACTTAAGAAAAATTATAGAACGATGGAACATAAACCATGATTCTCCTATTGCTCTAGAACGTTCCGAAAATAAATATAGATTTTTTTTCAAAATTATATTTTTAAATAAAGAATGTTATAATGCTTGAAATTTTAGGTTGGAGATTTTCAATCATGGGAGTTTTAAGGGAGATCTCTGCATGTCGACCAAAAAATTGCATAAATCTCTTGCTGATGGGGGGGGCTGGCAACCCTGGCCTAAAGTCCTCCAATAAAAATTATAGGAGATGGTTAATCTATGACTGGATTAGAACTGAACTGTTATATTTGACATCCCATACAAAATTAACAAAAATTGATCTTGGATAGAATGTGCATTATAGGTCTGCAATAGCATTTTTTAAATGACAAGCCTACATATTCATTGTTTATTTTTATAATCTACACATCCTATCTGTCTATGGTTTTTTTTAAAATTCACCCACCCACATACCCAAAATTAAATATTTTGTATTTTTATATACAATATGCGATTAATATAAGAAATGATTTAAAATAAGTACAAAACAAATCTGCTCTGCTAATTTTATCCAAAAAATAAAAATTCATTCGCCACCTGACACCCTCTCAAAAAAAGGCCTATTGCAGATCTTGTGCATATCAATATTATTGGTATGAAATATAATTTAAATTAAAGAGCAAATTTTTTTTAAAAAATATAAATGTTTTCAAAATAATAGTGAATAATCTTTCTTACAACATAGTAAAATAATGTAAATCTTATGATTAGTTCAGATAAAAATATGCCACTTTTAATTTAATGAGTGAAAATAAAAATATTATTGATATGGATAAATATATTTTATATTACTATTTGCTCTTTGACTTTTTTTGTAAGAGTCTCATTTAGCTTTAAATTAGCGGCTACCATCATAGATTCCCAAACAGTCAATTGGGGTAATAAATGATCATCTTGCATAATATAACAAGACATTTTTCTAAAACTTCTTAAATCTCTAACTCTTCCATTAATTGAAATTTCCCCTGATGTGGGTTTGGCCCTTTAAAAATGTTAATAAGAATATAAGAAATATATAAAATATTTGATAAGCTATTATATATTTAAGAATATCTAAATGCTATTATATTACTTTGATCCAGCAAGAAGGCTCATTAATGTTGTTTTTCCTGAACCAGATGGTCCTATTATTCCTGTCAAATGTCCCGATTTCATTTTACCTGACAAATTATTAAGAATAGTTTTTGTACCTATTAAAAATTGATAATATATTATATAATATATTATATATTACCTCTTCTTCGAAATATATTGCCTTCTTTAATTGACAATGTTAGATTATTGAATTGAACATCAATTTGGTCAGCAGGGGCTATATGGGAAAAATTTTGGTTTTGTAAATTATTTGTAAAATTAAATTTAGTGGTTCCGTTCTTATTAAGTATTTCCGATTCTCTAGATATACTTGAGAACATTATAGCGTCTAAGCCTTTCGATTTAGGCATTGTTTTTAACAAAGAAATATCACAGCTGTGCAAGGCAAGATTCACAAGGTGTGCATGTATAATTAATTCTAAAATTAATTAATATATATGTCATAAGTATGATTTTAAATTGATAAAGTTTGTTAAAATAATTATATTATGTTTTTAAATTGTGACTTATCCGAGATAAATAACATTATTAGTTTTCATTGATAAATAAAAAATAATATTGGCATTATTATTAATCAATTCTTATTTCTATTTTTTTTAAAAAAATAAATAATATATATAGATGAAAAAAAGGAAAAATCGATGATTACTATCATTATATTAGTTTTTTTAAATAAATAAATCATTATATTTGTTTGTTATTCTGTCGTGAATTGTTATTTTGAAATATAGTCTGTAAGAAAAAAAATATGAATAAAGATATTCCAAAGTCCTATTAAATGAGGCGGCTGAATATAAAAAAAGGGATTCTTCCAAAGTCCTCTTAAATGAGGTGGTTATAAAAAACAACCAGCCTTCTCACTGGGATTTTTACATTAAGTTCTGTCGCACGGCAGTGCTGCCCTTTGTTATATCTTAAATTAACATTTTACAGTAAACTTGATGCATTTAAGTGCTGCAGGATTTTTTTATACAGTATATATTTTATTAGTAAATAAATATTGTTAAACAGTATTAACTTTAAAAAAAATTTGTTTTTTTTTTACATCCTTAAGCCATTTATGGCTTAACTTAAAATATTTCAAATGTAATAAAAATCAGTTTCTTTCTTTTTGTTTTTGTTAAAAACAACTTTTATATTTTAAAATCAATTTATTTATAAACTAATATTAAACTTTAAATTTTATAAAAACAACTTTTATATTTTAAATCAATTTGTTTATAAACTAATATTAAATTTTATATTTTATAAATCAATTTACTTAATAAACTAATGTTCAATTTTTTATTTTTAACTTTTAAAAAAAGATCAATTTATTATAAATTACATTAAATTAAATTGTCAATATATATAGGAAACTATTTTGAATTATGTGATCATTATATTTTTTTAATTTAAATATCAATAAATTTACGTAATATACGTCTATAACATTTATTTTCTGCCTTTGATTTCTGCAATCTTTTCATGGTGGCAGTAAAATTTTCTAAAATATTAAATATAAATTAACTTCTTAAAATTTTTATAAAATGTCTATCAGTCTTTCAACGGACTTAGGCGTCCCACTATTTTCAACATATCTTACTATCAAAGCTATTGCTTCTGATATCGAAACATCATATGTGCCATTGAAAGCACTTGTTAAATTCAATCTCATTTTGAATTTTTTTATAACCATATTTTTCATGGTTTAATGAGAATATTTATACTATTATATGACAATAGATTTGAATATAATTTAGTTTTTAATCCCTTATTTTTTTCTCCCTTCTTCAGTTTGTGGTATATACATTTTGAGTATAGTTCAGAATCTGCAATGAGTTTAATAAGGCCCATCATATTACCTTATGGTTGCCTGTTCCCCTAGAAGGCTTGGTTACGAGATATTAATAACCTAGACAACTTATTATTATTCTTATGATAGAACGGATATTATCCACACATTCTTTCTGGGGTATTATAAATTGGAATATGGAATTTTTATTGTGCGAAAGCCTTCCATAATCGGCTCATATGTGCCTGTGATGATTCATGCATAATAATATCATTATTAAATTTCATGAATATTATCAGAGTCAGTTACTATATATTCTTCTCACACATTTTCTTTATTATTAGTACACTTTTAAAAAATAATTAAATTAATAAAAATATTTATTATACCAACAGCTTTGAATTCCCACTTTTTACTTTTTTTTCTTAAATTGCGATTTCCCTTTATAAGATAAGTATAAACAATTAAATATTTAATAAAAAAATTACTTTGCTATTTGTCCAATTTTGAGTTATATACATAAAAGCTACTATTTCAAAGCTTTTATTTATATCATTAAAATTAAGCCCACCATGTCTTTTTCTAATGTGGTCTGTCCATTTATCATCTCTTATATTATGCGATAGAAATTTTTAAAGCATTTGTATTATTTTGGTTAATATTTTTGGGCATATTTTGAAATTGGAAAAATAATTTATGACAAGAAATCTCGGATAACAACCTAATTTACTAAACATCGACCAAAATTTCCGTCAATACATATTAAATTAAATAATAAGTGGGGGGGGGGGGTGGTCTTATTACATACATAAACCAGAAATCAATTGGTTATGGATGGATGTAGTAAAACAATAAAAGAATTAAATTTTTTTTAAAAAGTACCCCCACTCAAATTTTTAGAAGCAATAGCTTCGACCCCCCCCCCCTCTTTCCCCTTTCCCGTTGTAGGAGCCACTGGGATTAACAACTATATGTCTACTTACTTTTAAAAAGAAATTTCTTATACTTGTTTGGACTTTGGAAATATTTTTAGAAAGAGGCATGGTAATTAAATTTAAAAATGAATAATATATTTGATTAGTAATTTTGAACTCGGCTATAATAAAATCAAATCTATATATAATACTTAATATAAAATAAATTGTCCAGGGGGCTATCAAAATAATTTATTTTTGGGATATTTAGGAGCCATTAAAAAAAAGGGGGCTATTCAAATTTTTCAGGGTGCTCGAGCCATTGCACGCCCCCTCCTTACTTTTTTTGTGATATGATCAATGAAAATTTTATATAATAAATAAATTATTGTTTATTCCATTGGTTTATTGTTGTTTTTCAGTTCCTGTTTAAGTCCTCCTACGTCATAGAAAAAGATGGCTAGGATATTATATTTAAATGTTTTCACTTCCAGGTAAAGAGTAAACATATCTTTATAAAAATATTTACATGGAACAGGATTTTACTAAGATTTATATCAATATAATAATACAATTTATGGAAATAAGGTGTGCTTGCTAAAATTATTAAATATGTTAGAAAAATAATAGAAGAAAATAAACAATCGCGAAAAGACTTTGAATATGATTTTACCACTGTATTATCTAAAAATGGATGTTAATAAATGTGTCAACCGAAATTTTATTTATTTATTATTTTAAATAAGTAGAGTAATTGTTAGATAGTTAAGAAACACGAAAGGTTAGTATTTCATTCATATAATATTTAAAATTTAAAAAATCACGTAAATTAATAACTGCAGCAAATATTTTTTCTAATTTAAAATATTGCAATTATAGTCTTCTTTTCTGATATCAGAGATCAAAATCTCTGTATTTTGAGGAAAACTGTTATTAGCACATTGTAATTAAGTGAAATGAGGGGTATCAATTTTTTATAATGATAATTTTAAAATACATAATGATATTACAAAATTAATTTTCCGTATCCTTCCAATTAAAACACGCAAGGTTAGAATTCTAACAACCAACATATTATAATATTTTTGTATTTTTTATTATTGTTACATTCTTATTAAATTTTAATTTTTAAAATAATCAACAAAATAGACATCTGATTTCATATGCTGAACAAAAATTTTTATTATGATATCGAAATAATAATAAGACAATAGTAAATTATTTTTAAAAAACTTGAAAATATTAGCAAATTACTATTATAAAAAATAAGAAAAAATGACCATGTTAATAAATCAATTTAATTGTAAATTTTCCAAATAAGTCTTTAGGACCATATCTAGCTTAAGAAATATAAAATAGATAATATAAAGTATAAAATAAAAAAATTAAATATCCTAAATTTTACTACATCACCAACTATCACTAAACTTAGAAATGTGAATTACTAAAATTCCTTAGATAACAGCCCAACCAGCATAATTAATTATACCCTCTTTGGATCACCATCGATAAAATTAATGCAATATCCTATTTCAAAACAAATGTATAGAGGTAATAAAAGATAAATTTAGCCGGTATTTATAGTCAGAACCTGAAATACACCCCCCATCCCCTCACACCAAAAACTTCAGATATAAATTAGCATTCGATTCACAATTATAATTATCTCACCCACCTGTAGCTCAAGATCCACAGCTATAGCAAAGGATACTATCAATTATATTGCAAATATTTAAAAGATACACATTTGCTGGATCGTGCAATAAATGTTCTCATACATAATGAGTTTCCTTTCCCTTAATATTAATTTGAAGAATTCAATACCTTAGACAAAATAAAACTCACTTCCTGGACAAAAGAAAAACCCATAGTTTTGAATTATACTTGTATAAACTCATTCATTAAATTAAATCTGCATATCCATTCATCAATCCCTGCCGCCTAATTATTTCCTAGAAAATTGTATATTTCTATCATTTGACAATTCTACTCTGGTGAACTTTGATGATAAAACTAATTTTTTAAAAACACTTTAGGGGAAAAAAATATCACGACTATCCCGGCAGAGAATATCTTAAGAAATATGTAGATCTATAATCCTTATAAAAATATTTGCCCTATTTCATTATAAAAAATTATCTATTATTTAGAAATATTTTTTTTAGATATATGTCGATTTTTTTAATAAAAATTTTAAACTTGTTAATTTTAATGTTAATTATCATTATAACTAATTTTTAATAAAAGGCTATTTCCAGACACATGTATATCAAAATAATTTTCTAATGTATTTGTTGGCATTGTTATTTTTCTTATTTTATTTTCGTTTTGTTTTTTTTTTCGTTTTGTTTTTTTTTCGTTTTTCTTTACTTTCAATTTTTACAAAGCTTTAAAAAACAATTAATGGAAGATTCCGGATATGTTTCATAATTTTATTAATTTGCGAAAATTTATAAATTTGAGGGTTTTTCCAATATATTTAGGAAACAGCCTAAAGTCAAAATTCGAAATCATTTATGTTGAAGGAACAAACCTAATGAAATAATCTTACCACCTTTGGCCTCCCTGGTATGTAAAAAATTTTCAGCTTGATCTAATAAAAGATTTTTAGTATCAGTTTAACAGAACCTAATATGTGGATATAAGCCAAATTTGATTTGTCCCAGTCAACAATATTTTTGGAGTCTTTTGAGATTACTTCTTACAATTTGTCAGAGTACTAGGCTCAATATATCACAAAAAAATCATTTACTTCAAAGATGCAAATAACTTTCAACCAAATTGTATGAATACCAAATATTATCCATTAAAAAAATGAAAATAATGTAATTAATAAAAATTACTTAATTTTTTGAATGTATAACCTATATGCATTAAATAGAGAGTAGTACATTAAGAATATGTTTATTATAAGTTCATTAATCAAGTCAAATATTTCCAATCTATTTTAAAATTAATCATAACTGAAAAGCCTTAAAAAGGTTTTCATATGACAAATAATTTAGGCACAATAAAAAATGAAAAGAAATAACAATCACTCTTAAAATTTTTTGACAAAATTATAAACTATAATAAATCTACTAAATAAAAAATTTTTTATAAATTTTTAAATATTACATAAATAGGAGGCTTGGTAGCTATAATCATTTGCTTCAACAAATTGCTATAAGATGTGTAAATAAAATTGAACATATTTTGATTGAACTAAAAAAAATATGGAAATGAAATTATATTATATATAATATAATAATAATATTAATTCTAACTTTAAGGCAGCGTCTGTATGAGAGAAAATCATAAGTGCTAATTCCTGAAAAATCTACTTTTACGACGCCTATATTCTCGATTTCAGCTGCGGTATACAACTAATTACTAGGGATCGTTGGCTTTACTATGCAAAGATACATCTTCATCTTTCATTTTTGTAGAATATTTTTGTCAAAGAGCACCGAGTAAATATCTCTAACTCAAACACTTTTGATGGCAGCGGGTGGGGGAAGGTCCCTCCAAAGCCAAAAAATTCAGATCGGTTATATATACTTTCCAAAAATATTTTACTGATTTCTACCTCTTGTTGCATAGATATATTCTAATTTATTATTTAACATATTCATACCAGAAATAAATACACTACTAATTTATTCTATCAATTAATATCGATTTCAAATTTTCCTCGGCAACGTTAAATTTATTTACCAAATTATTTGATTCACTGCAAAACTAAAGTAAAATATTTTAAAAAATGACATAGATTTGATTTATAAATGCTCGATTTGAGACGATTTTTAAAAACGGCTAACTCAATATTTTAGTCAGAAAATATTGCCCAAGCATCGAGATTCCGCTAATAGATATCCAAACCTTTGTGCCTTCGATGAGTAAGATCTTCAGGCTTTTTTTGGATAAAATAGTGAGATAGCCGTTTCTAAAATTCGTCTCAAAATCAAGCCGTTTAAAATTCCCACTAAAAGCATTATATTGAAAATAGGGAAATTAGGGTAAATGTAGATGAAGAATTTCATATCATTGTTGAGTCAAAAGCTGGGCTCAATGAATTTAATATTTGTCTTCCTCGACTTCGACTAGCATCAAGGCGATTCAAACTTACCAAAATGGATATAGGATCAGTTAAAGTATACTAAAAAATAAATCACTTTATCTCCCTCTTGGATATTTTTATACTCAAATTAAAGAATTCTTGATTAATCAAGAAGCACTCACATACATGCCAAAATTCTCCGAATCTATTTCAAATCTTGATAGAGAAAAATTCAAAATTAAATATTTGGTAGATTTTTATTGTGAGGATGCTAAAGTATCCCATAATGCATTACTAGTTGAATGCAAACTATGATATTAACGGTTAAATATGGTTGTTATTATTCGAAAAAATGTTATAGGTGTATAATTTCAAATACATTTTTGACTATTTCCCTATTATATTATATAAAAATTATTATATATTTTGGCAACTCTACCTATTAGCTTCTATCAATGAAACATTTTCTTCTTTAATAAGCATAAAAACGTACATGAGATAAATAGCTCGATTTAAGCTGATTTTAAAAACGGTTACTCAATAGTTTATACAGAAAATATTACGAGCCAAAATATTTTGCTCTTAGATTGTAATGGCTGCTGATAACTAACTGGTTGTTAATAATAGATAAAAATAGTCCCGAGCGTATATAAAGGTAAAATGTTTTAAAATTATGTGTGTGTAAAAGGTTATTTTTAGATTTATTTTCATAGAATCATTTACCAATTATTTTGTCCTTCTATAAATAGTGTTAATTTATTACTATATTCCCAAGTTCACTCCTTTTCTATTCTCTATCCATCTATATTGGAGGCAAATGGCTACTATCATTATCACTCATGCAAACTCTGAATTTTACCAAAAAATAAATCATATTCTAAAAAAATAAAAATTGCAGAAATCTTAAACAGTTATTATATGTCGAGTGTAATTACGATTTTTAAAAATGGTCAATATGATAGGCCAAAAAGTATATGTTAATGAAATCTCAAGACTTACGTAATATTTTTTAGTGAAAGTATTGAGTTAACCGTTTTACAACACTAGTCAGAACCATGATAGAAGTTATAAACCATAGTGACCTTTCTTATTGCCTTTTTATTTAATTTTTACATTTAATACAAGCCTATCACAAGTCGTGTATCAATTTTTTGAAAATCTTTATTTAATAGTATCATAACCAGTGGCGTAGCTAGGAATTTTCCTTAGAGGGGTCCATACATATAAAAGCTGGGGGCTTCGCCCCCAGACCCCATTTAACGGGCCTTCGGCCCTTTTGCCCGGCCTTCGGCCGGGTTTATCTTACAAATCATAACTATATCTTCGATAATATATAATAAATATATTTTTTAAATGCATCAATAATATATTATTATAATTTAGTAGATTATTCTCAATAACTTTATAATAATAATATCCAGAATAATTTCAATAGTAATATAATATCCTTCCACAAACATCAAAACCAGAAAAATATAATTGATATAAAATCACTTTTAAGTCTTTTGAACGTATAATCTAAAAAATAATTTTGCTCTGGGAGGGGTCCGAACCCGAAAACCACCCCCGTAGCTACGCCACTGATCATAACAGTGAATATATATTATGAACATGTATTAACAATAATATTAGTTTACATTTCGCCCTTTCAGCTGTTTATTTAATTAAAAAAACAAAATTAAATATATATTCTCATGTAGACTTGTACACTGATTTATTATTCGGATGAGGCGCGTTTGCATTTTTATACATTCGGCATGAGGACATTGGGGTGCCGATAAAAATTTAAAAGCACCGATAAAACAATATGGCATGATAAACAGTGTAAATTTATTTTTATATTATTGCCAAAAATTAAGCATAAAAATCAAAATGTAAATACAACTTTATTACACACTAAGCAAAATATGAATATAAATTTTAATGCCTGACAAAAGTAATTTTTTAATCCCTCTCCACAGTTTTTTTTTAAATATTTTAATTTATATAATATTAAATATATTTTCTTTTTAAAGGCGTTTTGAATATTTGAAAATGAAAATTTAAAATAAATAAAATGAAATTCAAAAAAAAAATGTTTATAAAACATCCTTAATAAAAGATAGAGAATCGAATCATCAACTTAAAAAATGTGTGATTAGATGATTGAAAAATGAAGATTATTTATATAAGGAGAATATGGATACATCAATGCATTTTTCACTAAATTTTTTTTCATGTATCTATTGAGTTTATTATTAAAAAAAGGATTTAAATAAAAGTCATATAAAAAAAAATTTAACGATTATAAAAATATTGCTCATATAAATAAAAATTAAAAAAAAACAACTGAATAAGAAAAAAATTAACTTAAAAAAACAATTATGAAATCGGTCTACTTGCATTGTGATATGGAACCATGAATAGCAATACAATTACTTTGACTAATAACCATCGTAATGGCTGTTTAAAATAAAAGGCTTCATTATGATCGCAACTTATTTGGGCCTAATTTTTTTTCCTAACAATGTGATAAATTTAAGGAACTCCTCACTAAAAACACCAGGAGTATTGATGACAAGTAGGATAAAAAGTTATCGTCTGAATATTTGTATTTTCAAAATTTCTGCCGAACTAGCTAAGACATTTCTGTTGGATCGTTCCGAAAAAATATTTGCTTGTGGATCCCAAGTAACAAAGGGTTCTTCTATTTTGCTTATCATAAATGATTGAGCTCCAGTTTATTTGAGATACTGGCCCCTTTAAGAGCTTTTGAGATTAAATTATTAATGCATGCCATGGAGGGGGACTTTGGAATATTTACTACGTAAAGGATAAATATAAAAGTGGAATTTATAAATTTATATCAGACGATATATAAATATTTTATCCAAGTTATCTGGGTATATAATATATTTTTACTCCTTAAATTTTCCTCTTTATGATCTTATTTCTCGGCTTCTTTCAGGTACACATTACAGAAAAAAAAACTTTTTTATGATTTTCTTTTTATTATTATTTGAGAGTATGAGTTGCTAAAAACTTCCATACTCTGCTTGGTTAATTGCTCAGTATGATTCATTATATAGCAATTTAACTTTGAACGTCGAATAGACAAGTGTAAAGTAAATAAAACAAATGGATGAATGATTAGTTTTTTATTTATGATGCATCTAATAGGTCATATAGTGGTTAATTTCTGAATAATAAAAAAATAAAAAGTAAATTTACTCATAACGTTAGCCATACTAGCTATTTATATAATAAAAACATATAAATGTCACTTAATTTGTTATTTCTTATGCGTGTTTTATTATATATGTTAAATTTGTCAGTTATTTCATTTTTGTATTATCAAATACTACTATTTATAATTTTATATATGCCTACTAGTGTTGTTAAATTTACTTTTGAAACATAAATAGTTACAGTTACTAGTTACATTGGTAAAAATAACTAGTTATTTACAGTTACATTATAAGTTACTTTCTGGTTCTTATAAATTTTAAAATGGTCTATTATATCTAAAAAATGGGTTTCAGGTTATGTATTAAGAATTAATAATTTTTTCACTCATATATTTGCAAATATGATATTTATATATACAGTTGTTGCAAATATTTATTTTAAACTTATTGCAAATATATATTTTTTAATGTTAATTCAAATAGAACTGTATAATATTGGAGTTTTTTTGCCAAGAAAATTGTGATAATAAGAATAATAAGGGAAGGGTATTAGATAATTTATTTTTTATTTAATTATATATGCATGCATCCTATTGTATAATTTTGGAAAACACTTTAGATCATAGAGTTTACCTATTTTTTTAGAAGGCAATATAATCTTGAACAAGAGGACCATGACAAAAATACCTTAGATAATTCCCCAATTTTCAAAAAAATTAAATTAGCCTATAGAATGAGGGTTATTTGATTTATCTTTTGTTGAAGGAAATGATATTTGATATCTGCATTATAATATTTTGTTTTTCTTTCATAGTCTTTGTCTTTTCTTATTAGTAAGTAATGATGACTAATTTAGCATTTTATACAAAAATTATTTAATTCCAAAATAATCTAAATCTTTATCTTTCCTTTATGCTCTAATTTAGTAAAATTTAAAAAAATACATTTATAACTTATGAAATTCTAGAGCATAAATATTGCCAGCAACTTGAGGGCAAAAAATATCGAAAATTGTCCTAAATTTGTAAGGAAATATAATATTAAAAAATAGGTTTATTACTTGAATTTGGTTACAAAATTATAAAACCCAGCAATGTAACAATTTAAGAAAAGAAAATCTATTTGGACATATCCTTTGCAAACACAATCAGACATTTAAACAAAATTTTAAACACAAAGCTAGTCCCTTGGAACCAAGGTTTACCACAAGCTTGTGATTAAACATGTGTAGATATTTTTGCCAGACCTTTTAATGTTATCTCCATCACTAAAGCTGAAAATACTAAAAATAAATATAGCCACCTTAATAATCTTTTGTTTGTTCGGGTCGTCTCAGATACCTGTAGATTATTTGGACCCCAAGCCCTAAAATTATTCAAAATGATAGGGCAAAGGTTACGTTTAATCACAGGTGATTCAAAAGTAGGGATCTGCCTACGACAAAGAATATCAATAAATTTGTCGATCCAACTGTATATCTATACATGGGTCATTAAGCCCCACCGACCAAACTTAAAATATATTTTTTTTTTATTTCTCTTCTTTTAATTATATTTTTTATAAAGTTATAGTATTTTAATTATAATTTTAATATTCTTTTAATAAATGATCAATTCACATATTAAAAATAAAATTAATTATTTGAATATATTATTTAGATTTATACATACATATTTTTAGACGTAACTAGTTACTTTTCAGTTACATTTCAAAAAATATAACTAGTTACAATTTTTAAAATATATCTAGTTACAGTTATTTTTTAGCAGAAATGTAAAACTAGTTACAGGTAAATAGTTACTTTTAACTAGTTATTTTAACAACACAAATACCTACATTCTTATTTTGTAAAAGTTTATGTAAATACATAGAATTTAATAAAGAGCAGCTGGATATTAAAATAAATTTCACTGACGAAAGCAAAAATGAGAAATACTGGACTGGTTTTTTTAAATATAATTATATTGTATCATAAATAAAACTTATATTAAGAAATTTAAGATAATTTCAAAATAGTTTAAAATTTTTTATTAAAAAACGAGTTTTTTATTAATAAGTTATCAGTAAAATTGGATATTTTTTTTCCACTGCGATGTTTTTATCTCGTTTAGGCAAGTTATATGAACTAATAAGCAAATTTATAAAAGTATACACATGGGTTGTTTTATATGGAAACCATTGTTTGTTAACTGAAAATAATTTTTAAATCTGAGAGCTATAATTTTATCGGAAATAAATACCAGTATGCAATTTTACCTTGTAAATTTTTAGAAAATTTTCTCATGAACTTTTGAACTAATCTTTTTTTTATAATATAGATTTCATCTGGTGTTGTTAAAAAGCCCAATTTGAGCCACTTTTTAAAAACGGCTAAATCAAGATTTTAGCCAAAATTATATTATGTAGCCTGGAAATTTTGTTTATAGGTGGCAGAGAAGTTTAGATCTTTACCAAATCTCGTGGCTAATATAGAACTCTTTTGGTTAAAATTTTAATCGGGCTTTAACAACACTACTAGTTTTATCTAAATTAAAAAATATTGAAAAAAAAATATGGCAAAATTGTATGAAATTAAGAAGATAGAACGCAAATACCGGATTTTATTCTGTAAAACCAAACTTCTCACATTTAAAGATTGCCATAAATAATTAAAAAGGAGATATTTCGAATTATTATGGGAAAATTTCGGATTAGTAATTTATTCCATACAGACAAACATACCACATATACTATAACTCTAATTCTGATTTATTTTTTTTTAAAGTAAAATTTCTTAATAATTTAATTTACCAAACATAAGTGTATTAATATTTAAAAATATGTATAAATTTACCTATATCCCTAGCCTTGGCGACTAATAGTTAAAATAATAATGAGGGTTATTCTATACGCGTCAAACAAATTGGGAAAACTATCAGTATAACAAAAGATGCAAATAAAATTATTAAATATCAGAAATAAGTAAAGGTCTAATAAATCGGATTATTGCTCTGTTTATGCTGAAACTCTTCCTCTAAGCTTAATAAATATTTACAAATATTTACAAATATTATTCAATTCTTAATGATTGATAAGATTTTAAGATTTTGATATAAATCAAATGTTTATTCAGGGAAAACTATTAAAGCCCTTATAATCCTATAGTTATTTTAGATGAGAAGCATCCTCCAAAAACCTTCTATGAGGCAATGTTTACTCAGTCAAGCATGTTTTCCAATTAATATGTAAATTTTATGAAATTAGGAGTTTATTTGATTAAAAATATAAACTTACTTATGGAGTTAGCTTTAACACCTGTTTATATAAATAAATATATTAAAAAAATTCTGACCTATCCTTTTCGAATATTGTATAAACAAAAATATCAATAAATACTCATTATAAGGAGCAATGCTTACAATATTGATCTGCCAGACACTTTGGCTGGGGCCTTTCCGAAGGTTTGATACAAGAAATACATTGTTTAAGGTACAAATACTATAGCTTTAATATCATTAATAACTCGTATATTAAACAACAACTACAATGAGACTGTGTAACGTGAAAATACAACGTGATAGATCCCGATTTTTAAGTTAGGACCCAAAAGGCCTGTACTGAAGTCAAATATTTATTCTTTTACGTTAGCAGACAGAATATTGAAAATCGAGAACAAAGAACAAAATTAGATGATTCTAATATACTAAATTATCCTCCTAATAATGGGCATATAAATGATACTTCACCCAAATATATAAACAAGAAAAATCTTACAATTCCTTCTCCCTTAATCAAGTTTAAAATATAATATAACATTGGAGATGCCTTAATTGATTCACAATTGCTCAAACATGCGGCAAATTCGTTCGTTGTTTATAAAATAATAAATGTAATAAATCAAAGAAAAAGTAGTGTCACTCGATAAAATAGTCCAAATAATATTAAAAAGAAAATAGCTGAAAAATATCAAAAGATTTATAGGAATGTTTTAATAAAAGCTAACAATAATATATGAAAATTGAATAAAAAATGTAATATAATTTGAGTTTTAAAAACTAATTTCGAATAGATCTAGATACATTCTTAAGTCATGTATCTGTATCTAGATCATATATATGCAAAATCAAATTGTTACAGCTATAAAGATCTTTGTGTTGCCCTGTCCTGCCCGCTCGTTATTTAAGTGTTTTATCCTGTCCGTCTAGGTCCTATAATTTTTTTTTACTAATTCATGGATGGGTCCCTCTTAAAATTTTATGAAAAGTCAGGCCACTGTTTAATTTATAAATAAATTTATATTTTATTTATACATTTAGTATTTAATTAGATAGTTCTTAAGACATAAAGGAATAAGAATACACTGTAATTTATTTTACAAATAATAATAATCAAAATCAAAATATTGACGTGAAATTCAAAAAAATGTATCAAAATTTTAAGGTAAAAATTATTTGAAAGATATTTGGGACCTGATATAATTATTTATTTATGAATTGTCTAGTCCGGCCCAAATTTTTTATGCACAGCCCGACCGGACTCGGTGTGATAAATTGTTTTCCCGGCTCGATTCCATATAAAAAATTGGTCAGTCAAAATCGGGCTTTGCAGATCTCTAATCTAGATATCAATATGACATAATTTACTTTTTTTATAATGATAGATTACCAAACACTCAATTTCTCAAGCGCTTGAATTCTCTCTACTACTTTATCCTTATTTAGTAATTATTCTAAAATTCTGTAAAAATATGTTTATTTCTATGATTGTATATTAAATTAAATTTACGCGAAGCGTCGAAGTAATCTGGAGCTATAATTAAAAAATAATTTTAATTTTTTTAAGAAAATATAAATTTAATGTTTTGAATTAGAAACTTTCCTGAATATATTTACAACACGCTTTCTAACTAAATAAATCTGAATCTTCATATATTATTAGAAATTATTTCTTAGAGAAAATGCTTAGTTTAGATAAATACAATAAGCGTCGTTAGTGGGGAAAAGGCATAGGGGCTTAAGCCCTATAAAAACTTTGGTAAGCCATTTTTTTGCTAATTTTAAAAATTATTAAAAAAGTTGAAAAAGTTCAAGACCAGTGGATAAAAATATGATAATGTTTTCTCATGCAAACATGTTATTTATATATAATAATTAAATTTTTTAAATAAAAATAGAAGTTTTATGTGAAATCCTTTTATTTATTATATAAAACAAATTGGCAACTGAATATATATATTCAAATTTAACGATTTTCATTTTTTATAAAAAAAGGAATATAATATATTTGATTATTAAAGATATGAATTTAAAATTATAGTAAAATTTACTCATTTCTTTCATCAGTATAACTGTTTTTATGATAAATATTTTTAAAAATGCAATTTAAATGAGAACAGAAAATATTTTAAATCGAAATAATATTTTAATTCTAAGGCTTCGTTTATATTAAGCGTAAAAGAGCGCGACATCGTATCGCGATTCTTAAATTACAAAATATATGAAGTTAAACAATAGGACTAAGTTATCGTTTCCCAATGAAACATAGCATGGCTTAACCATTATCACGGTTACCATTTTCAAAATTATATCATAAATGATGAGCTGAGGGGAAAAATCTTTTTTTAAAATAGGAATATACCTATAATTTAGGCGCTGTGTTAATTATAAGTGTGTCAACATCGCCATTTTACCCAAACCCAGAGTAAAGTGGTTAAGCAGGGTATGGTGGTTAAAATAAAAATTGAACATAACTATATTGTCTTGAACATAATATTGCAATTTTGACATCTATTCATCATTTTTAAGTATAAACTTATTGATAGAAATAATTAAATTAATAATGTGATAATTAAAATTTAATGCATATTATTAAAATAGAAAATTATATATTTTGAGCTTGAAATTTTTTCACTATAGGCTTTTCAAAGGATCGGACCAAACCTGGGTTTAGGAAAGCTCGGGTGAAACAATTTTTATATTTGAAATTGTGAGAAATTACTAGAAGAATAAAATTAAGACAGGAAATACATTCTATATTGAATTTTAATAAAATAAATGTATAGGCTTATAGAAACTTAAATTTATGAATTGGTTAAAATCGACAAGAATAAGAATTAATAGCAGTCAATTTTTTGATTGTCTATAACATAGACAGACAAATCAGGTCGTAATGTTTTTAAATATAACAAATATTTAATGTGTATATTTCATCGGCTACATCTAGATCAAAAAAAGAAGAGGTGAGGGGAAAGTGTCTTTTTTATGACCATTTTAAAAATGCCAATATTTTCCCTATAGCGGTTTGACAAAGCCATTATTCAAATTTATATACAAAGTAATATTTAGGTTAAGTAAAATGAATGTAAGGATTCCATCCATTTATATTCCTTCTCAATAAGTAAATAAGGTAATAAAGAAATTTCGACAGGATTCAGCCTCCGTTCTATTATCAAAATAAATTTACCTATTTGCTCGGTATTATTTCCTATATAAAAAAATTTTTTTAATATCTTTTCTTTTATAAACGATATATAATAGACGCGTTTCAATAAAATGGATAAGATGCATTTAAATTAAATAAATATTCTAATTCTAAGAAGTAAACACAAACTTAATTTTAAAAATAATCTTAATATTGGCATTCTTTTTTGAGATGTAATTTTTTTTTATATATTTAATAAAAATATAAAATATACTTAGAGTCATGGCATCTGTAACTAGAATATATTTAAAAAATGATCAAATATTAAAAAAAGTTAAAATTTAGACCACAAAATCAAAGCCATTATATCAGAACTTCAGAAAAAAATGATTATCTAAAACAAAAATACTCAATTTCTTTTTTTTAAAATATAAATATGATTATTTTTTGGGATCTTGAGGTTCACACTTTCTTTTTTATAGAATAAACCTCCTTTTAATTTATATTTTATTTTAACATAAATTATCATTGTCTATTAAAAAGTGTTAATTATCTTGTTGCAAAAAAAAGAATAAAAATCTAATGTTTCCTCACATGAAAGATTACTAACCCTTTGAATGGTTCTTTTATGACAAAAATCAGGATTCTCAACCAGACTTGTTATAAAAGTAGAAGTTTTAAGTTTTATTATATAATAAACAAATAAAGTGCATAGCTTATATATCTAATTTATCAATGCAATATTAATTTTTACTACAAAAAATCGTAAAAGTTTTATAAGAAGATTTGTAAATACTTTGAATCTTGACACGTTCAATAAGTAAGAGTCGGTATTAAGGGTTTAGGGTTAATGGAAAAACATAGGTGCCGATAGGGTTAGTATATATTCTAAAAGACATATAATATCACATTATATATGTCCGTTAGTCCTAATATAGTATATAACTTAAAAAAGGAAAGCGTAATACCATAATTTCTATGTTTTGATTAAGAATTATTTGTCATGTAGTCTAATTCATAAGCAATTATTCCCTTTTAGATTTGTAAAAATTATTATTGCAAATTGGGGATTTAATTATATTGGAAACCATTTTAAATTTCAACTGATAAAAAAAACGTCTGCTAACTGGCTTCTACCGTTTAAAAAATAATTATTTTACCTATACATAATTAAACGTTAAATCTTTTCCTAGAGCTAACTCAAAAAAGGTTAATCGAGTTATTTCGATTAAAAATAGTGGTTAAGACAAATAAAGAAACTAAATAATTACCCAATTCACTTGTATTAACTGTTTATATTATCAACAAATAAGAATAAAATTTTAATAATGTGCTTAATTAAATTAACCAAAAACTGATTTTTAATATTTATTATTATTTTAAATCAACGGGATATTAAATGCATGTGAGAATTTTCTAATCACATGAGTTGGTCGGAAATGAATTTAACATGGAAAATATCCTAATATGAATTAAAAGAAATTTTGCCGTTTTTGGAACGTATATATTTTTTTGATATCAATTAAATAAATAAAATTATTAAAAAATGAAAAGACGTTGTACATATATATCAACTCTAAAAGAGGTTTTGTTGTAATTTCGTAATAACTTTATATAATATCCAAGTTTGCTTTATTAATACCCACTACTATAAATCTAATTAGAATTGTTTTTTTATGCCCAAAAATATTAAATTATTAGTTTTTAAAAAAGAAAAAGGTGTAAAGGAAAAAATAAAATCATTAATATTTATTTAAATATAAATAGGCAAATACGAATTCGAAAACATATAATATATATTATATAATAGAAGGAAGTTGTTTACCAAATTTATGAAAACCTACGCTTCTTCTCATCAGGTAAGTTATGTTTTTATTTTTTATAACCATTGGTGTCCGTCTAAAATGCAAATATAATACTCAACCGCACATTTTCTACGAATGTTAAACGACAACATCAGCATGCCTTAAAATCTCCCCAGATCTCTTCAACAGAGCAGCCTCCTGGTCTTTTCAGATCTGATGTAAAATCCCCTGATGGAATTACCCAAATCCGGTGGAAATGGGGCCCTGACTGTAGGTCAATAAATGGGTGGCACATCCTGTCATGCTCTATTTTAAAAGGACAATTTTTTATCACAAAATTAATGCAACCCCATTATACAGATTGGCTTAAAATCTGCCCAGATTTCATCAAGGTTATAGTAGGCTCATGAACTTTTTAGATCGGATGAAAATGCCCTGATGGCACAATTCCGCTCAAAAAGGTCAATTTCTGATATAGGACTACATCTATACTGATAATTTAACTTTTCTAAACATCATGAATAATAAAGACAGTTAAAAATTAGAAATATCAGGTTATCATATTTATACCAATCAGCTTCATTATTTACACTAATATGGTAATCTCGTTCTATTTTTTTAAAGTAATAGATTCACAAATCTATCCACTCAGGAAGAATTCTATCTATGGCAAAAATTCGTAATAATCACACATAAATCCAATTACATTAGCTACTTCGGGAGCCTCATTCCCAAGTGGCTTATCAAATAGATTATTTTTTAATTTTACGCTTTATCTATTTATGTATAAAAATTTGGGGTTTTATACATTTAATTAAATTAACATATCTACTAATATAATAAAATACAAAAAATTTCCGCATGATGTAACATTTTTAAAAAATTAGTATATTTTTATATAACAAAAATGGCGCTTTAATTAACAACACAAAATGAATATATATTTTATAATATAAAATGATATAAATTTAAAATTCATGTAAATGTTTTTTAATTTTTTTTGGAAGAAAGAAAAATTAGATGAAAGAAAAAGTAAAAATAACCGCATATAATTCAATAAATTTTTTTAAAAAAAACAGGAAAATATGTTTTATAATATAAAAATTGGCCTAAAAATATTATATTTTTAATTAATTAATTTAATATTTATTTTTAAATTTAAGCTTTCTTTTCTAAAAAATGATGAAATAAAATATTTTTATATCTAGGACTAGGATTCTAATTTCTGATCTAGCATATGCTGTTTAAAAAATTCTCTTTTAACTGCATAGGTGCGCCTACTTAAAAGCAGACACCTACAAGCCAGGCCCAGGTAACAGGACCTTGGTAATAATTGGTATGGTGCAATTGAGGAAAGATGTTGGACTATGTTATAGCCGAATATATAATCTAGGGTAACTCCTAGTTGTTCATTATTTAAGAAGATCCCTAAGTTTTTACTAGTTATTAAGACAAGATTTTATACTATAAAATTATTGTATCTATCATGATTAGCAAATTTAGTACAAGTGGGTTGAAGCTAGAGTTCTGCAAGACTAACCCATCAGTCCCTACTGGGTCAGTCCGGAGGTACATCATCGATAAAATAAAGCTTCGGCTTGTAGTCAGAAATATGTTTATCTTACATATTCTTCCTATTCTTCCTTCTTTTTTTGTCTGATTGAATAAATATAAAATAAATATTTTAATTTTTTTTATTTATTATTAACATTCTTATAATATATTGTGATACATAGAATAAAATGAACAGCATAATTAAAGTATCAAAGTTATTGCTGCTAATTAAAATTTAATGCATAACATTAAAATAGAAAATTATATATTTTGAGCTTAAAATTTCTTCACATCTGCTTTTTATAAGGTCGGACGAATCTGGGAGCTAGGATGGAACAATTTATAAATTGCATTAAATTACAAGAAGAATAAAATTAAGACAGTCATGTTAAATATAACAAATATACTATTTTCAATGCTAATATTAACCCCTTCATGACGTAATTTTTTTTATATATATTTAATAAAAATATAAATATACTTAGAGTCATGGCCTCTATAACTATAATATATTTAAAAAATGATCAAATACTAAAGAAAGCCAAAAAAAAAATAGACGACAAAATCAAAGCAATTTATATTATATTTTAAATTAAATAATCATTGTTTAAATGTCTTGAATTGAAAGAAAATAATGATAAATATAAAGTAAATGTGAATTAATTCAAAGCTCTAAAATGATCATATCATATATTAAGGAGTATACTAGATTATTTTTAAATTCATTCAAATAGTCTTTAAAACTAAAATTTTCATTGACAATCTTCCTCAAAACTTATAAATATATCGTAAAATGGAAAATCTAATTTTCAATTAGTCTTTTGAAGTTTTTCCAAAAAAAAGATTAAAAATCTAATGCTTATATACCTTATTTATCAATATTTAAAATATTAATTTTTACTAAAACAAATCATAAAAGTTTTATAAGAAGATTTGTGAATACTGAATCTTGAGCTTGACACGTTTAAAAAGTTAAAGTGAGTTACTAATTTAAGGTTAAGGGAAAAACATAGATGTCAATAGGGTTTATATATATTTTAAAAGACATATAATATCACATTAAACATAGATGCCCATTAGTATTAGTATATGATTTAAAAAAGAGGGAATAGTATCAAAATTTTTATGTTTTGATTAAGAATTATTTGTCATGTAGTCTGATTCATAAATAATTGTTCCCATTTTAGATTTGTGAAAATTCATAATGCAAATTGTGGGACCTTTTATAAATGTTAATAAGAAAAACCCCTGCTAACTGGCTTCTACTGTTTAAAAAACATTTTTTTACCTAGATATAATTAAACGATAAATCATTCGCTAGAACTAACTCAAAGCGGGTTAACCTAGTTATTCCGATTAAAAATAGTGATTAAAACAAATAAGGAAACTAAATAATTACCCAATTCCCTTGTATTATTAACTGTTTCAAATAAGAATGTAATTTTAATAATGCGCTTATTAAATAAACCATATTAGTAACTCCTTAATTATTTACAAAGATTGGTTTCTATATTTATTTTAAAACAACAGAATAATAAATCAGTGAATTCGGAATATATTTCAAATCATTTAAGGGCTTTGTGTTAGAAATGTATTTCAACATGTATGGAGTTATATCAGCAATATAAATTTAATAAAATTTTAGCGTTAATTTTGGAACTTATTTAATTTTTTTGATACATCACAAAAAATTGAATGGGGAAAATTGTCTGAAATTCATAGAAAGATACTACACCGTTCTGAAATACATATCCAAGATCACATTTTTCAAATTTGATCATTGTTTTTAGTAACTGATTTGAAATTGAGAGATTCCGAATTCCCATGTATTCCATATCCCAAATAGAACATATAAATATAAAAATGAAAATATGTATTAATAAATAAAAGGGATGTGCTATTACTTTTTTTAAAGTGTAATAAGTATACTATTTTATATTTTTAATATCTTTTAATTTTAGGTTGAGTTTATAATTTAAACTCGAAAATAGGACGATATCGCTCTTATCCCACATTATAATAAAAATAGATATCGTTTCCAATGCCAATATATTTACTTAATTTTTGTATAATCTGTTTATTTTGACGTTTCGCGCATATATTATAAACTCAGCCTAGATAAGAACGAAATAGATATTATTTAAACCATGTAAAAAAATTTAATCTAGTTTTACCTTAAAAAAAAATCTTAAATACTAAAGGGATGTATCTAGAAATTTATTATATTAGATTTTTTTTTTTAAATCACAAAATTGCAAACAACTGTATAAATTCAATTTTTTGAGGTAATTTTTTTTCATTAACTAAACGTGTTTTCTAAATTTCAGAGAATTTAACCTTGGATTTTGTTGTAAATTATATTTTAAAAATTATGATTTTGTTTATCTTTCCTCAATTAAACCATATATTTTAGATGTTTATAACATTATTAATATTATATTTCCAATTTATTTTATTTTTGTTTTAAATTATTTTGATATGGTTAATCTCAAAAATATTAGTTTGAAATTGTAAACAAATTTTGGATTGATATAGGTCTTGATTTAGATAAAAGTAACAGTTTTATAGCTTAGATTTGATTAGTAGGAAATAATAATAATGGGTGGTAAATAATAACGAATACCCGTTTATAGTTAGTCTTAAAAATGATCTATTAATAACCTATAAATTTGAATATACTCATTCAAGAAGTTTTAAAATATGTAAGTATCCACTTTATTTAAAAATTTTAATACGTTAATATTTACATTTTAACGCATGTATTGCGAATGTAATTTAACAATAGTAACTTTTCCTGATATTACCGAAATATCATAAATAAAATTAAGAATTTACAATGAAATCCATGTTTAATATCTCTAATTGTTTAAATAGCAAATATTACAAACATAAGATTTTGTAAAACAGTTTGATTCATATGATTAAATATTTAAGAAAAAAATATATATACGTAGTTCATTAATTTCTTCAACTGTTAATATAAGAAAATAATATAAAAAATACTAAAAAATAAGATTTATTATTAATCAATTTAAGTAATGCAACTCTAGGGAGCGTCCTCTATTACTAGGGAAGAGTGTTCTCTAAGGAATCATTTAGCATTTACCCGATGTTTAATCATCAAATTCAAGATGTTAGCCAGTAAAATATTACGCAAGCTGAGCGATTTTGCTCATAGATGGCAGGGTTGGCCATATATTAGCAAAATTTCGAGGCTAATGTATTATTATTTTGACTTTAATCCTGATTTATCCGTTTTTATTGAGCCTTTTAACAGCACTTCTTAGCGAGAAGTGTCCTTTATCCCACAAGTCAATGACGTTCAGACCCCCTGGGGAGATGGGACACCAAATGACACAGGTATTTCTCCTAAAAAAATTAGGCCAAATTGGTAAAAAGAGTGCTCCATAAAAATTTAAATAAGGCAACATCATTATTTATCCTTTAAAATAACAACGATATAAAAGGATTTAATAGGTGTAACTTTCTAAAAAAAATTTCTCATTATGATATAAATTTATATACCTATTTCTGTGCTATCTTTATACGTTTATATGAATAAAATTATTAAAAATATTAATGAATAGACTTAGGTTGGCTTTATAGTAAATGTGATATGACACAATGAGAAGTGATTAAAATGAAATCGACTTTATGGAACTTTTTATTGAGATCAATTTTATTAATACGCGATTATTGTAGAATTGTTTTTTTTATTTATTGATGTCAATAAAATTATTAGTTTAAAAAAAGGAAAATATAGAAAGGAAAAAAAATAAAATATGAATTTAATATTTATATAATTATAAACAAGCAAATACGAATACATATATACTATATATTGTATAAGAGAAGGCAGTCGTTTGCCAATTTTGTGAAAAACAATAAGCTTCTCCTCGTTACGTTAGGTAAATTATATTTTCATTTTTAATGTCATGACACTATCCGTCTCAATTGTATAATTACTCAACCATAAATTTATTATGTTTGTAGTTTTCCCGTCGACTTGAATAGGCAACCTGCATTGCAACTATTTCAAGGGACGAATTTCACGATAAATGCAAATCCATAATAAAATAGAAATAGTCATGTATTTAAGATAAATTATCCTATTAGTAAATAAGTAAAAGATATATAAAATTTACTAATATAATTAACTTTCATAATTACTCATTTACTACTATCATTGTATGGTTATGTTAAATTTTTTTTTGCTGGACAGTTTTATAACTTATTTATTATTGCTTTGATTATTTTTATGGAATTTAGTTTTGCATGTTAGGCCGCCATTTCCAAGTCATTTTTATCTAAGTAGTTTACTAGACATGTTTTTATCAATTTTTTTATCTATTTCCAAACAAAATAGGATAATAATTAATCGAATCATACTTAATAATGAATAAAAATATTATATATTTATTAATGATATAATGGCCTTCTTGAGGCATAAAAAGTTTTAATTTAAAAATAATATTTACTATGCAAAAAATAATTTAAATTATTCTACTTTGCTTAGAAATAAATCATAATAAAAAATTGGAAAGTGATTTATCACAACTTGTTTATAAATTAACTTTATTTAAGAAAAATAAAAATTTACTTGCAAAAAAATAGTCAACTGTTTATAAAATTAAGAAATAATTTAAATACAGCGTTTTTGTAATTGATAATCATCATCAATTGATCCAAATATATAATAACATCTTGCAATTTATTTTTATATGAAAATATATAAAAAAATTCATAAATACATGAAATATTTAACCTTAATCATTATAAACAAAAACTTATTAAAATTAAGGTTATTCTTTTGCAAATGGCGATTATTCTTAAGAGATTTTTTAATTGTTGAGCAGTCTATATCAAAATCTATGGATGAAAATGAGGAGGCACAAGTGAAATATCTAACACTCTCAAGGTTTGTAGACAATCCTTTAAATTTCAGACTGTCCTATAGTGGGTTCAAGAAAATTATGATTTAAAAATGTAATCTCCCTCCGAAACTTATTAGGGAGAGCCCCAAGAGTGAGGAGTTATCCTCAAGGTATTTAATGGCTATAATATCAAATGGTGACTCTCATAAGGTTCCATCATCTAAGTACCTTAGATATAAGTCTAAGTTAGATTTTTTACTTGGCATGTACCAAAAGTGAGTATGGTTATGAATCATTAAAAAGATTTGCCTAACTTTGAGTAATTAAAACAGTTTTAAAAATATTTTAAAAATTCATGTCGATTTAATTTAATGAAGGCGTTATAAAATCTAGCTTGCAGATAATAAAATTTGATGGTGGGCTGTTTAGATATATCTTTAGCAATTAATCTCCTAAAATAAGATCTTATAGCTATTAGACGAAGGCCACCACCAGGCTTTTATATTTGCTAATTTTGATTTACTATATTATTACAAAAGGTAACAAAATTTGTTAAAGATGTGATAAAAACTAATATATATAATAAAATGAGAATATCTAAATCCCTGCAAGTCACTAGCTGAGTTTTAATTAAAAGAATTAATTACATTAACGAACTCATCTAAAGAAATATTGAATGACTGAGGGCTTAGCTTGGTAAAAATTATTGACTGTTTAAGTAGTTTGATAACATTAACTCTTACCATAGGCAGCCAATTGAAATAGAATATGGGATCACCTTAATTTAAAATTGTTAACACAATTGTTTTAAGCTAAAAAGATATGGTTATGTAAGACCATTATTTGTATGATTTATACATTTTTATGGTATGATGAGTGTTACACAAAAAAAAATTATAATTATTCTTTAACTAATATTAATAATGGTTATTTTAAAATATTTTATTGTAAATTATTTCAGATCTCTCTTTTTGTGGCAATGTTTCCTCAATCTCAAGCAGACGTTTTGTAATGTAAAATAGGAATTAAATTTAAACAAAGGTAAAAGTTTTATGTGTAATCGAATTAATGTAAAATAACCACCGGGATATCAATTTTAATTTTTTAAAAAATAAAAAACCTTCAAAACTATGTTTGTTCTATCATATATAATTTATATATTGTAACAACTAATAAGAGAAATATAAATTTACCCCAATAGTAAATGTTAGAAACTGTTTATATATAATTAAAAAGGTATATAATTAAGAAAACCATAAAAATTTTCTTCATTAAAATTTAAATTTTTGGCATTTTCTTCTAAAAGTGTCTAATTATTTAGTCTTTATAAAAAGAAAATTCTTGTATTATTTTTAAAAAAGGAATATAAATAAAATCGAATATTTATTTTCAGGGGAAACTATTAACCCTTCGAAATTTCTTTTGTGGAAAAATTCTAGTAAATGAATTTAAACTGCTTATTTTTTCAAACAGCACACCCAAACATGTTATACATGTAACTAATATACATAAATTAGTAAGAAAATATAAGTATAATATAACTCTTTGTTTAAATTACATAAGCCAAATTGCCACCTTAGTGATTGTTATCAACAGTACAAGTAAAATATTTTCATATATTCTTTTAACAACTTTCTTATAAAATTGTTTACCTCCATGTATTTAGTTTCAGGCTATTAATATATATGCCTCATCAGGCTATCTTCATCTTTGGAGTATATTAAAAATTTTTGCCATAACTCGCTCCACTTCTAACTATATATTTTTTAAACTGCCCACCTCCCTTCTTTTTCATTAAAAATTTTATCATTTATCCTACAAACATTGTGATCTACTAAAATTCGATATATTTTAGAATTTCATGAGATTTTTAAATTTAAAAGGAAACTTCTTGACAGGATTTCTTAAATCTCTTGGAGAGAGCCGCCGATTCCATTTTATATATTATCCATAACCCCCTTCGAGAAAAAGGTAGCATTTGAAAATCAATAAATTTTAGACGACTACATATTCGACCCTATTATTTACACCATCCGCACTGTGAAAGTTTACTAATCTTTCGCTTTAACTATTTAAGTTCAGTACAACGTTTTTTATATTTTATATTATATTCTCAAGCCAATACTTTTATGTTCTTAATCATCCAGCTTTATTTTAAATTATCTTAATCCATACAATAATATGTCAATTATTTCATTTGCCTCTCTATTAACTCCGAATGTAATATTCTCCATAATTCTCCTCAATTTACAATAATAATAATATAATATTTATATTCCTTATGACAATCTGTATTTTTTTCCCCACTAAGAATTTAGTAATCAAGATAGCCTTTTTTGAATTATATAATCTCAGAATATTGAACAATATAAATTGAAAATGATATCTATTAATGACTTGAAATAAAAAAATAATTAACTAATTGCCATCAAATATAGATAACTTATTTCACAAAAAATAACTGTTATTGCTTAAAATGATTACTAATTGTCATCAAAATATAAATAACTTTAACAAAAAAACTGTCAAAAAAATCAAATAGTTATTGGGCTAATTTTAATATACATATAACAACTTTTGAAATAACGACCTACGGTTTTCTAGGTCCCCATGCGCAACTTTACAATATTTAAATTAAATATCATTTCTGTGTCATGTCTGGGTTTAAGAGAAAATACAGAAATAAAGAAAGAAATTTCCCCAAATCACTCCACTCTCTCCCCTTACCAAAAATTAATATAAGCAATTAGAACAATTAATATTATATGAAAGACATTAATATTCATTATTTAGTAAATTAAGTTAAGAGAACAAAATGAAATATTATTTGCTTAAAAATATCCAAGTATTTTTTTTATTGCTGTTTGCTTTTTTAGAAGTCTCATGATTTCTCGTCTCCCTTACAGTTGCTTAGAGAAGAAGAACAGGACAAATAAATTCATACAATATAAATAAAAGATAGATATAATGAATATTATTTGAGGATTTTACAAGGAATAATTAAATAACTAAATTGATTAATGTTTCGTCAAATTATTCGTTTATATTTTATAAATTTGAATATAAATTAATCATTTATACTTTGTTATAGATTTTTTTATAGGTTCTAACAATTAATTTAACTTACTTAATAATAGAATTATTTAATGAATTGCTACTATTTCCATTATTTCTATAAATGTGATCCTTGATCAAGTTTATACCCTCTTGCATATATTTTTTAAATATATATTATATTTAATACCATATAATTTTACTCAAATTTTGTTACTAGACAATTTAAACAAAAATTCAGTTTTCCCATGAAAAACACCCATCTACATTTACAGTATATAAGCTAAAGGCGATGTTAATGACTCGTCGTAGAGAGTGAGCTTTGTTAAGCGAAGAAATTTTTTTTTTTAATTTAAAAATTTTTTACAACACAAGTTAAACAATTTTATAAGAAAGTTGTAAAAAAAAATATATGGAAATGTATTAATTAAAAAGGTATAGTTGATTTATAAAATTATGTAATGTGTACTATTCGCATAAATATTATGATTAGGATAAATATTTATAATTACATATTTCGTTACTCTTGTTATCTTGTATGTTATTTAAATAATAAAGGATTAAGAAGACTTATATTAATAATATATAATAATCATTATTGAAATTCAAATATCTCTATATCAACTCTAACTATAAATGAAGAGCCCTAGGTCTTTTTTATAGAATGAAATTTATTGTAAAAAGGAACAGAATAAATATAAATGCGAAGGTGGCGATGTCATATATAGTCATTTAAAATAAATATTTTACTTATGAAATATTATAAATTTTAAGAACCAAAAAAATATAGTGTCAAAGGTGACAAATGCCGAAAATGGTCGCATTTTAAAAAATTGATATATATTAAGAATACTATTAAATTTCTAGATAAAATTGTCTGAAATTTACAAAAAAGATATTCCAATCATGTTGGAACACATTTTGGTCAAATCAGATGTCGACTTTAATAATTGCCATTACTAGATAACTAAAAATCGAAAGATTCAAACCCCATGAATTCCATAACCCTACGTATATAGCAAGAAAATACTTTTGATAGTTATATATTTAACTTAATTAAATTTTTAGGCAAAAAATTTAATTAATAAAATATCGGTCACCTTTCATACTATGCATAATATCATTACAAATTCTTTAAAACTGATTCAATTTAGGCAAAATTTATTGAAAAACTGAATATGGTTTAGCCACTTTTTAGACAAGATTTTTAAAAAAAAAAAATCTATTAGTTGTTTAGTTTTAGGATAGGCTAGGTTAGCTTTTCTACACTAATTAAAAGAATTTTTTTAAAAAATGAATTTACATATTAATTCACTCCTTCTAACTGTTTTTATAGAAAAAATATTAAAAAAATCTAGTTTAATAATTAGTTTAAATTTACTTATATTTCCACATAGCACATCTATTTATTTAAGTAAAAAAGAAATAATAATAATGTACGCTTTCGTAAACACCCCATAAACATAATGGGATGGGACATTTATTTTTTTTATTGCTTATTTATTATATAAAATTTAAAAATCTTAAGAAGAGGGTGGCATATATTAGCTTGGTTGGGTGAATTTATAATTCTTTCATTTAAATATAAATTGGTTGATGAATTTTGTGAATATGATTATAGGTTGATGCATGCTCATGATGTTGATGTTAAAAGTAGAATATACTCATTTCTGCTTGATATTTATAATTCTAACATATTATGATCCTTTAGTGCTACTTAAAGAAAAATTTTGTTTTGGGCAAAATTTACATTAATAAATTCAAAAATTTTTCCTTTTCCTCAGTAATAATAAGTTATCGTATACATGATGAGATTTGTGATCTATCTAATATTTTATAATTTCTTTGCATGTTTTAAAAAATAAAATTTTAAGAAAAATTCTAAAAAAATAATGACTAGAGTTTGAAAAAAGTTCATTGTTCCTTTAGAATGATATTGTTTTTTTTGTATATTTTTTTTTGTTTTTTAAATATTTTTTAAAATTTTTCTATTTTTTTAAAAAAATGTTTTTATGCATTTTAGTTATTGGGTGCGCAATCTATACTCAGTCATTTTATCAAGAAATGTAAAACATTTATGACCATTTCTCGCTTTCTATTTCTGGTTTATACCAAATTTTATCTCATTTTAAAAGTTTGGCGAAATTATTTTAACCTATTTAAAATTAAAATGACAGTTTTGAATCTTCACATTTTTAAAGGAAATTGTATATAAGAAAATAGGCAGCAGAGTTGAAAAGTTATATATTTTTTTTGTTACTAATATCGTACTATTTTTTTAAAAAATCTAAGTTGGTCTCCTAAATTGATTTATATTTTTCAGATGAACTAAAAATTATGCAACAATTTGAACTAAAAATTATGCAACAATTTGAACTAAAAATTATGCAACAATTTTTATAGAAATTGTGTAAAATATACTGGCAGGTATTCTATATATATGCTAAAATTATGTATCCTTTGTATTTTTAAAATTTTTTAATGGATAATTAATTAGGGAATTTTAGTAAAAAAATTTAAAAACCGGGAATATTTGTTAGGATTACTCTATTCCTGGGCACCTAAAATTTAAAAGGGAAAAGGAATAGATAGGTATATGTATTTTGCCCTGAATTAAAATCTCTTAATCAATGCACTATTTTTCTGGTCAAGAAAATAAATTAAATTTATAAACTGGACTAGAAGAGTAAAATTTTCTGAAGCGGGTAAAAAAAACACGACACACCTTCTTGGAAATATATGAGAAGATCACTTTTATAATATTTTGATTGAATTATTAATAAGATAGAATATATAAAAATAAGATTAATTGATATGCTACAGACTTAAATAAAAGAAATGTCAAAAATAGAATAAGCCGTTTTCCGTAGTTATGATTGTTTGTCTATATTGTTTTTGAAAAAGAAGATAGAAATTTGAATGATAAATCATGACTTCTGTTAATGCGCATTCTCGATCAGCATAAATTTAGAATCTTGAATTGTTTCGGGTCATTATAAAATGTTGAAGAAAGTTCACTGTAAATAACTTCGCTTCATAGTAATAATTTTTTACTAGCGAATTTGTTTTATTATAGTGTACAAGTTTAGATATTTTATTTTTATATAAACTTCTTGGCTTTTAAAAAATTGAAAGTGTTGTTGGTAGGCATATCGTAATATGAATAATTTTTTTTACTCTATAACCGTTCATCCTGATAAGATCAGCCATTTTTTATTCAAAACAAGGAGCTATTACTATTTCTTATGGCGAAAGATTTCAGCTTCCACTCTAAACTTTAAAAATTATTTTTCAAATCTTTAATTTGTTAGTCTTTTTAAATATTCAAATGCTTTTCCCCAAGAGTGAAACAAGGTTAACGATGACTGAACTAATTGAATAAATGAGAGAAAGAAGAAATATATTTTAATGAATGAAAACAAAAAACAATTTTAAAATGTACCCCCCCCCCTCCCCTTCCATCATTACAATTACTTTATCGGAATTATATTTAAACAACTATATCTAACTTAGAATATATTTTTTATTTTTATTGGCATTGGATGGAACTAAATTAATTTGTCAAATAGAGTATTTTTGTTATTCTTATATCTTAGCATTCCTAATTAAAATATCGAGGTCTTTCCATTAGGTTATATTATATAATATATACAAACATATTTCATTAAAATAACCAAATTGAAAATAATAGGTATTATTTTGATTCATTGAATAAAAAGTTGTAATGGAATATGAATAAATATTACAATAATGGTGACTAACAGAATTGATTGAAAAATTATATGATTATATGTTAATGAATGAAAAAAATTGTGATATTTAAATATATTTACTCTTTGGAGAAGCTAAATTAAAAAAAATTATATACATAATATAATATATATATTCATATTTATAACTTACGCCATAAATAATACAAAAGATATAATTGGTTTAATACACTGTTTGGCACAGTGTAAATTATAGTTAACGTACGGTTTATAGTATTTTAAACTCAATAGTTTGAAAAAAATTTTTAGGGCAATATTTAGATGTGTGTTTTATACAGTCATATAATATAATTTTATTATTATATGAAAAAATCCCATTCAGTTTATTAAAAAAAATTTTTCGCTAGCATGTGAATTTTATTTTGGCAAATTTTTATAAACTATAAGCAGACGTGAGTATCAAATATTATGGTATTTTATTACGCGCAAGTTGCGCCGAGCAACAATAAATTTTAATATGTGTATATTCGATTTTTAATTTCCAGCGATGACAAAAGATATAGGAATATACATTGTAACATTTTTATTATATAAGATTAATGAACCATTCAAACATTTTAAATTATGATTATTATTTATTATAAGGCTGTGATTTTATTAGGTTGGTATAATCCGAAAATTGCTAAACAAAATTAATAAATATTAAGGTAGAGACTATTAATTTAAAAAACATTTTTAATTATATAAATAATGAGCAAGCAAATTTATACGATATATTAATAATAAATTATTATATAAGATTTTTAAAATCAATTTTAAAGGTTTATAAATGTTATCCTTTATTTTATTAACTATGTATTAATAGGTAATTTTATCGTAAAATAACTAGTTTTGATGAAAAAAAAATTAAGATTCAAAAAGATATCATGAAAGTATTTTGGCCTAGGTCGCTGACTTACACTTTCCGTAAAAAACAAAGTATAGAGATGGAATGTTCCTACAAACCTTGATATATCATTTCTTACGTATCAGCTCCTTAAAAAAAATATTTATAAAAATATTATCATACTAACCATCGAAATAGAAGAAATTATGGGCCAATATAATGATTGTTATTATAAATGTATTCATTTAAAACAAAAGTATTTAATTTTAAGTAAAAAGATTGGTAAAATTTAATTTCTTTAACAAATATTTTAACAATTAAGGAAATAAATTTTAATTAAGAAAGTTAGGATTTTTCAAAATAATTTTTTAAAAATAAAATAGAGATTAGCTTTCCCAGCAATTATATTAAAATAATGAATTATTCTTATTTTATTAATTAATCTTTTTTCTAAGATAAATATTTTATTTATTTTCTATTCCATGAGCTTTAAAAATATTATATTAAAATAAACACGTATTTTTTAAAATATTTTATTGTTTATAGTAATTAAAAATTAAATAATGATGCAATAGCCTTAGACGTTAATGATCTTTTATCTGTTATTAAAATATAAGATGGCATCGTAATTTTATCCTTATATAATATTTTCAAAAAATTTTAAGTAGCATATATGGATCGGTTCCTATAGAAGTTGATATTTATTAACCTCGACCTAGATTTGAATCCAGAAAGGAACGGAATTTTTTTTAGCCAACTAGTATATAATAGGAAGCGACCGCGTGATTCCGTTAATATTTATTAAAAAAGTGGGTCTTATTTCATTTTGTCAACATTAAATATCTGTTTATAAAATTTGGCTGTTGTTTAGAAAATTGCTATATGATGACAACCGTTATATATCCGTAACCCTAAAAATATAAAGCAATAAAAATAATTATAATACAATAATAAAAATATTTACTTAATAAATATTTTGTCCATTTAATTTTATCCTTTTATTATAAGATATGATGTATTCTGATAAAAATACCCAGTATCTAGTAATCCCCTAAAGGTGATTGACAGGAAAAAAGCAAAAATACTCTAGTTATAAGTTCTAAATAATAATTAAAAATAAATGATTGCAACAAATTCTAAACTTTAGTTATAAATGCCCAGAAAAAGCATTTATGTTTTCAAAAAGTCTGATAATCCATTTTTAGTTCTATTCAAAAAAGTTAATAATGTTAATAGATTAAAAAAATATGTTAATTATACCATTTTGAATTTTACCAGAACCACCCGATTTGGATCGATTTCTAAAATCGGCCAGATTAAGATTTTAGTTAAAAATAATATTGTAAAAGCCTAGAGATTTTGCTCATAGATGACAGAAAAGTTTAGACCTTTATCTACCAAATCTTGAGAACATAATATGACTAAAATCTTAATCGGGTCGTTTTTAGAAATAGACCCAAATCATAACTTTTGACAATACTAAACTAGATTCGTAATAATTTATAATTCCACCGTGGATATATTTAGGGAAACTACAAACACAAATAAATAATAATAAAAGTAAAAATAAAGCATTTAACATTATTATAAACAATCAAGGCTAAAATGCGCACACCTTTGAATATTATCTTTTGAGTTTTAGCATATCCTTAATGTTAAATTGATACCGAAATAAAATATTTTCATATCAATTAATATATTCTAAAAATGATTATCATTAAATAAAGCTTAATCCACCAATGTAAGTGTAACTATATGCCATTTTCCAGTCAAAAATAAACAATAAAATTTAAAGTTACCTTGAATACAAACTTTTTCCCTCCAAAAAAATCTTAATAATTAAAATCCAACACATTCTGTCAGCACGTGAGATAATAGCACGATGATATCCTTTATTTTAAATAACGCAAATGATAACGAGGTAAGGCCTAATCTCCAAGGCCATTTCTCTATTGAAACAAAAAACAAATGTGACTTTATATGACAAGATATAAATTTAAATATTAATATTTTAGGACCTACAAAAAAGAAGATATCAAATATAAATAAAATAAAACAATACAAGTCAATCTTTTTTGATCCAAGCAAGGAATTTTTACCTGAACCACAAATAAATTGCTAAAAAAAATTATCACAGAGGCAATATCTTGGCCAATAAAAAAGAATTATATCTTCTTATATAGGAAGGAAGAGAAAAATTAAAAATGTTATCAAAAATATTATAGAACAACACATAGCCTAAGGAATTTGAATTACTAGAGGCCTAACCCCTTTATTACAAATTCTTTTAGGGAATCCATTGATGAAATTTTAGAAGCTCAGCTCTGTAAAGTATTTTAAACCTAATTAACTTCGTTACTTCTAAAGTGTTAATCTTTAGACTATAAATCTGCCATTGGGTTTTCCAAATTTTAACATTGGTGGCGGACCGGTTAAAAATTTTTTTAAAAAATGGGCAGGCTTGGGCAGGTAAATATTTAATAGTTTACAAGCAAAATGAGCAGAATAGACTTCAATTTATTAAAAGTAAAAAATTCTATTATATTACTTATTATATATGTTTAATTAAACAGACATTAAAATTTTTTAAACATTAGGCGGATGGGCATTTATAGATAAATGGGCGGGGGATAAATTTTAAAAAAAATATTATAAGAGGGTGGGAGGGCTAAACTAAAAAAAGTTCAAAACAACGTGTGGGCGGGTTTTGGCTATAACCCACTCATTGCAGATCTTAATTTGAACAGCTAAACACATGACTGTTGAGAAATAAAATGAACCATTATAAGTCCTAGCACTTTATTATCTTATATTTATTTTATTAAGCTTAAATATAATAAATTAAATATTAAATTTACTTATGATTAAATATTAATTTGATAACCTTGATTGGATATAATCTATATTATATAAAATGAGATTGTAAAATGTTCAAAAACAAAAATATAAAAATTTAAAAAAAAAATGAGATTATAAATGTTCAAAAACAAAAATGCAAAGATTTTATAAAAAAAAGTGAATATGTGTATTATTAAAATTTTTTTTCATAGTTTTTTTGAAAAAAATAACGGGTAGGTGAAAAAAAAGTTACTCGTTACGATAGTGTATTGGTTTAATATAGACTATTCGATTCAATCTACAAGCGCGTGCCGGAGAAAAATCATTAACATTTATGGAGTTTTAATTTATATTAATATCTTTTAAATTTGAGCTGCTATATTTTTAAGAAAACTCCCGAGGCCAAAATGGATAGTTTCGGCTAAAAACTTGATCTAACCGATTTTTTGTTTAGCTAAAAATTGATTTAAACGGCTAAAAATATAGTAATTGCCCATTTACTAATTAAAAAAAAATAACACAATCATCGGTACCTTTTGCGTTTAGGGGTCAATGTAATAAATGAATGAATTTTTTTTTATCTGATCAAAGTTTTGGATATATATTAAATAGCATGTTCAGATATATCTAACTTTCATTTATTGTAGGAATAGTATAAAAACTTATGTTTCCTTCTTTAAAAAAATCTTTTTAGTAACTTTATCTTATTAATCGCTATCTTAAACTATGCTCCCCTCCTTGGTCTGTTATCATGATTAGATACTTTGTTAGATATAGACACATTGTTCCGAAATTTACACCATTGACCTTCACCTTATTATGAGAATCAAATAATAAATTCTTTAGATTTATCAAGTTTTCTAAAGCAAATATCACTGAAATTCATTACTGTGTAAGATTTTAGATTATAAAAATATATCATTTTATTTTTAATAGATACTCAAATCTTTAATTATATATTTATACAAAATAAATTATCATCCATAAACAGAAAATGGGAAACTATTTTAGTTAGATAGAATTATATAATTACTATTCTCTTTTTTCATTGATGTAATACGGTGCCATAGATCATTAAGAAAGACTGGAACATGTATACCAAAAGAAATGAGCGTTGTAAAATTTATTGGTAAGAATAAATAGTTGGGTGTAAAACAGAAGTATTTGCAGATTATGCGTCGACAATAACATCATAGTTTAAGTTGAATGGTGCTAGTGCTACTTAAAAAAAATCCCAGGTTAAGAACTTACCCCTTTTTAGTGGAATCTTGGATAAACCATCAGGACGTTTACCATATGCCTATAAAGTTTAATTCGCTAGAGAGTTGAAGAAATTCCAGCAGATTTTAATGCATGAGATATAATGGCATTACATTTTGTATGTCATAGAAATATGCCTCTACATCGTTTGC